TTCATATCTTCACATCTCCATTTACTACGAACGATAGGAAGGAAGGAGAAGAGAAGAGAATGAGGAAAAGGAAAGAAGGCAAGAGGGAGGGAAGGGAGGGGGAGAGAGGGAAGGATGGAGGGAGACAGAGGAGAAAGAGAAAGAGAAAGAAAGGAAAAGAGCGAGAAAGAGATAGAAAAAAAAACACAAAACTAAGCATTAAAGAAGCTAGGAGGGGGAGGGGGGGAAGGGGCACCGAGGTGGGTAACTCGCTCAAATACCCCTCCTCCTCCTCCTCCTAATTCTACCCCCCACCCCCCCTCCCCTCCATCCCGAGGTCAGCACCGTGCCCGCGGGAAAGAGGTCAGCACGGAATCCGGTGGCCAGCGCGTCCGAAGCCCCCCTCCCCTACCCACTACCCCCCTCCCCCTACCCACTACCCTCGCCCCCCGCACCGCCCCCCCTCTCGCGCCGCCGCCCAGGAGAACAGGTTCGGTGTCCAGCGGGAACCCGGAGCAGCGAGGGTTTCGGTCGTCGGCGTTCGGGTGGGGAGGGGAGAGGGGGAGAGGGGGGAGTTGAGAAGTGGGAAGGGGAGAGGGGAGAGTGGGGAGGGGAGATAGTGGGGAGGAGAGAGGGGGGAGCGGGGAGGGAGAGAGGGGGGAGTGGAGAGAGTGGGAAGGGGAGAGGGGAGAGTGGGGAGGAGAGAGGGGGAGTGGGGGAGGAGAGAGGGGGAGTGGGGAGGAGAGAGGGGGAGTGGGGAGGAGAGAGGGGGGAGGAGAGAGGGGGGAGTGGGGAGGAGAGAGGGGGAGTGAGGAGAGGAGGGGGGAGTGGGGAGGAGAGGGAAGGAGAGAGGGGAGTGGGGAGGGGAAGAGGGGGGAGTGGGGAGGAGAGAGGGGGGAGGGAAGGGGGGAGAGTGGGAGGGGAGAATGGGAGGGGTGAGGGAGAGAGGGGAGTGGGAGGGGAGTGGGAGGGAGAGGGGTGGGGATGGGAGGAGAGTGGGGAGAGAGGGGAGTGGGAGGGGAGAGGGGAGTGGGGAGGGAGAGAGGGGTAGTGGGGAGGAGAGAGAATGGGGAGTGGGGAGGGTGAGGGAAGAGAATGGGAGGGAGTGAGAGGGGAGAGGGGAAAGTGTGGAGGGGAGAGGGGAAAGTGTGGAGGGAGAGGGGTGAGGGAGAGTAGGAATGAGGAAGGAGGGAAGGAGAGCGAATTGCGGTGGAGAATGGAGAAAAGAGAGAGTAACGAGGGTGGAGAGGGAGTGTAAGTTGGAAGGGAATAGGGAGGAGTAGGGAGGAGTGGGGGGGAGGGGGTGCAGGAAGGGAATAGAGGAGAGGAAGTGGTGGCGCCGCGTCTCATCTTTATCACGTGACGCTTTTTACAAATCGGGACACTTTTCCCGATTTTTTCCCCTAATTACCCGAGAGATTTTGTTTCCCGTTCTCCTGTTCTTCTTTCTTATCTATCTATCTATTCTATTCTATTCTACGCACATCAAGCTCCATCTGAACTTCCTACCAAACGGATACCATAAAAAATAAATAAAATAATAATAATAATAAGATGAAGTAGAAGAAGAAACAGAAGAGGACGAAGAAGAAGAAGAAAAGGAGGAAGAAATAGAAGAGGGAGAAGAATAAGAATAAGAAATAGAATTGGGAGAAGGGGAAAAATACGAATAAAGGAAGAAAAAAAGAAAAAAAAAAAGGGAGAAGAAAAAAGAAGAAAAAAGAAGGAAAAAAAGAAAAAAAAGAAGGAAAAGGCAGAAGAAAAAGGGAGAAAAAAACAAGAAAGAAAAAAAATGACCCAACTGTCTCATTCCCACGCCACCTTCAAACCGAACGCGTATCGCCGCCGTCCGAAACGATTAGCAACAGGTGTCCGATTCTCCCATTTTCTACCTGTCGATTCTCCCATTTTCTACCTGTTCGCTTTTCGGCTCTGGGGGGGGGGGGAGATTGCAGAAAGGCTTGCAATCAATCAGCACCGTGATCTGCCCCCCCTCTACCCCTTTCCCCCGCTCCCTATGGCCTTTTTTACGCTCTTGAGGGAGAAGTAGAGAGAAATAGGAAGGTAAAAGATAGAGGGAAAGAGAGGGAGGAGAGGGAGGTGGGGAAGGTGGGGGGGGAAGTGGGAAGGAGGGTAGGAGAACGAGAGAAAGAGAGAGAGAGATAGAGAGAATAGAGAGATAGAGAGAGAGAGAGATAGAGATAGAGATAGAGAGAGAGAGAGAGAGAGAGAGAGAGAGAGAGAGAGAGAGAGAGAGAGAGAGAGAGAGAGAGAGAGAGAGAGAGAGAGAGAGAGAGAGAGAGAGAGAGAGAGAGAGAAAGAAAGAGATTCGTTCGTTAGTGCACGGATGTGTCTCCTACAAGGGGAAGAGTCAACGCATTTCCGTTTTTTTTGTTTTTTTTAGCCCCCCCCCAAAAAAAAAACTCATATACAACAAACTCAATCTCAATCCATCAATATCCATCTCCTCCTCTCCTCCTCCTCCTCTCCTCCTCCTCCTCCTCCTCTCTCTCCTCCTCCTCCTCCTCCCTCCTCCTCATTCAAAACACAGAGCGAACAGGTTGTTAAAGGACCTCAAACCTCATCACTTTCTCCGCTTAATTACTGTCGACGGTGATTAACGGAGCGGATA